CAGAAGCTCAGTTAATCAGACGTATGCACCATTTTCCCACAAAGTTGAATCTCTAATGCATTTATGGATTTCGGATATCCATTGTGAAAAAAAATCGACCTTCGAAATTAATTCGATTCTATAATCCCTTTTTTAACCATTTTTAGTGAATTAACGCGCTATTAAAGACATGAGGTAAGCGTGCATATAAGGCATATAGTTGTAGGAAAATGTTTGTTTTTCCAGTCCTTTGATTTTAAAAGTTTATCCCCGTGATCGTTTGCAGTCTGAAATTATTTCACAGAATCGCGACGTTATTCTTGCTATCATTCCTATTAAAGTTTCGTAAATGAATCGGAAAGTTCAGCCAAAGCCAATGTGGGTCACGATCTCACGATCCCTATAGTTATTTCCGCCTTTGCTTATTTTTGCCGTTTTTGATAGTGCAGACGTTTATTTGGGACGCCGAATCTCTTTAAGTCATTATCAAAATCACCCGAGACAGATTTATCGCCTCGTTCGCCTCTCTCGTATTTTCTTTTACTATCTATTCAATAAATGTTGTCGATGCTGGCGGAAAATTACGAATGACGCAGGATAACAATAATTGGCCGCCCGAGTTCATTTCTCTTAATCGAACTAGATCGAAACTGTTTGCTCATATTAATTTGCATTATAGGTAGCTTCCGCTTCGCTTAAAGCGTTATTCGTTGAAGCGAACGATCAGTTTAACTATACTGGGAAAGAGTACACGACGAAGTGGAATTATATGTGCAAAACGGTGCGTGCCATTCCGGAATGCTGCTGTAATTGATGCATTCATTTTTACGTTTCGGTTTCTGTAAATATTTTTGAAAGAGCATCTTTTTTTTCTTCTTATCGAAAAAGAACTAAAATCTTGAAGCTCGTTTAGAGTGAATAATTATAGAATGTATAATTATCGAGACATGATTATCGATGTGTATCTGAAAATAGAAGGAAAATAAATTTTTTTTTACCGAAAAACAAGCCACGTAATCGATATGCTGCATATTAAATATGTTGACATAACTGAAGTATTCTCGTGATATAATATAAAGAAACTAACTTTTTTTCTTTTATTCACCTTTTATTTATATATATATATATATATATA